AGCGGCTCCCACCTGTGGGATAGAAAGGGCCCACGCCAAAACTTTGAAGGAACTTTTCTGAATTTTTGTTAAAAGTTCATAGTGGTATCAGCCTCTTACTGTAGTGCTAGTGCGAGTACACCGTAAAGAACGGGTCCCATGTGCGGGATAATTGGTAGGAAACTCCCAACCCCGAATTGGTAGGAAACTCCCACCCCAAAACCTTTTCGGGTTTTGGGCGCCCGAAGTCCGGCCGGTTGGTACTACAGGCCCCAACGGCATGTGCGGGATAATTGGTAGGAAACTCCCACCCCAAAACCTTTCGGGTTTTGGGCGCCCGAAGTTCGGCCGGTTGGTACTACAGGCCCCAATGGCTTTCCCGACCCCTGGGTGAAAGGCGCTTTCGGGGTAGCACATGGGCCTCTTTTAGATTGGAATGAATCTGGCACGTGGGCCTGTAGTACCCCACGTTGAAAACATTGGGCTGGGGCCGGGACCCACAGGCGCCGTGTCTTTCGGAAATTTGTATCGGTGGAGACGTGGTTTGGGAGGAGGCGAGGCCTTGTTCTGCGTGGTAGAAAGCTATTCCAAGAAAAGTGTGATTGCTAAAGACAACCACCGCGGTCCTCTGCATTGATTGTTTTGGTGGAAAGTCCATGATTTTTTCGCCACTTCGAGGTTATGGAGGGATTTTAACGGAAGATGATTCGAATTGAGGTCGGCCACCAACCACCGGAGGCCACGCCCGCTGACAGTCAAGCAGGTTTCTGTATTTTCCCGCCCCCCACACGTAGCACACTGTAGAAAACTACGACTACACGGTGCATGTGGGTCCCGGCCCCCTGTAGTCCGTGCATGTGAGTCCCGGCCCCCTGTAGTACCAAACGGCCGAACTTAAGGCGCTCAAAACCGAAAAGGTTCTGGGGTGGGCACTTTCTACCAATTATGCTCCTGCGTGCTGCCAAAATGCAAGATGACAGCATGAAATTCGTCCTTCGGGAAACTGAAAAAAAAAAAAAAACGAAGAAGGCAGCTGACTATCTCTCGTGAACACGGTTCTGCCTGCACGCTGTTTTTTTTTTTTGTTCTTTCTCTTCTTTTCTCATTTTGTCTGTGCGTGTGCTGTGCGCGTGCCTGGACGTAAATGACACCTATTCTAACCCCGTCCAAACGAGTCCACGTAGGAGTTGGACAAGTCCCAGTTTGACTATGCTCCAGTTTCGTCTAATAGTATGCGTGTGCTGTTGTGTTCCCCGTTGTTTCTGGCAGTAAATCTACCACCACGGTAGCAATCGGTTGACGTCCAAAACTGTGCCTCCAGAAAACCCCGTTGGCCGGGTCCCTCTTGCCCGCGTTATCCTTTCCAGGCCGTCGATTTCACTAAGCGAAGGGCGGAAATTGGAGGGTCGGGGCTACCTAGTTGGACCTGGGCCCGGGGCAAGGTCCCACTAGTAGCAAAGAGGATGATTGCATTAAGCTCCTGAATCTGGACGTGCTTTAAGAGGAGATGCAGGAAAGCAGTTCAATCTCGATTTCTGCACCTCTCCGAAAACACGTCCAGATTCGGGTGTTCGACCCAATACTCTTTGCTAGTGGGATGGCCCCGCGCCTACTCTTGCTCAGAATCTGGGCGAAATTCCTCTGACATGAAGTCCAAAAAAAGAAGAAAAAAACCCTTCTGCTGTGAGTATGCCCAGTCGTTCCCTCCAGAGAGCTACCCTGTCGCACGAGAGCCTTCAGCTCTGGAAAACTGACGGAATCTTGGGGGTCATTCGGGCGAGAGATCAGACCCCTCCTCCAGAGAGAGAGGGTGGGGATTTCTACTACAATTTCAACCCCTCCCTTCTAAGACGAAGATGCTGCGTTTATACCATCTAAGAGTGTGTGGCTTTTTCATCGCGCACACAGCCGTTCACGTATATATAGACGGCGTACTCTAGTGGAGAGAGGCAGAAAGCAACGGAGGTAGACACCTGAGCAATGTAGTACTGACACGAAGGAGGGAACTTAGCAGTGTAGTTCTGAGTGTGCGCGCACTAGTACTAGTACAGAGTCCGGAGCGAAGGGAGAGAGAGGGGTGGGCATTCTTGCTGCAGAGGGAAGGAGAGGCGACAGCCGGCTTGTTAGTGAGGAAGTGTGTGGAACTTGGTGGAAGGAACAAGTCGAGAGCAATGGAGGGGCGTGGTAGTCGTTTCCCCGTTTTGGCTGCTGTATGTGGGATTGCCTTGGTCGTTCTGCTAGCTGTCTCGCCGGTGGCGAATAGCACCTGTCCGTCGAACGAGTGCGACTTCTACTGCTCACAGCCTCCAAATAAGGCAATTCCTTTCGTCACGCTTTTTAAGAAGGGAGATCACAAGTACGAGTGCGACCTCGTGCACAAGATTGGGTGGTAAGTTGGTTCTAGACCATACAAGCAAGCCTGAGGCTCCTCTTCAGCCCAGCTTTTGCATAATATCCTTTCCTTAATAATCAGCAATGATCATCATGTGTTGTTGAGTGCGCAATAGCCTACTAGTAGTGCTCGTACAGGTGCTGCCGTCGCTGCTTCTGCTGTTGTGTTTTCTCCTACTCTTCTTGCCAGTGCTGCTGCTGCTGCTGCTGATACTGACCACCTCCTCCTGTCGCTACCTCTCCTTCGCTAGCTTGGGTGTCATTGGCACGGCCAGGCATCAACTTCCCTGTAGAGAGAGGCTGTCCGCACTGTGTACGACCTGGTCCCAGGGCGTACTCACCACAGGACTGTTCTTACCAAATCGGGGTGTAACTCAGGTCATACGTAGCAAGAAATTATTTGTTTGGGCGCACCCTTAGTTATGCATGTGCCAAGCCATGCATGCGCCATCGCCGTTGACTGCCACACACTAGATGCACACCCTTAGGTGGGCGACTACGACCGCTGTTTACGAATAGTCTTTAAGTTTGTGTTTGAATAGAAAAAACACGACCCCTTAGGCTATCCACATGTTAAATCCTCTGGCTGACGGACGAGTAGGAACTCAACTATGATGCCGGTGAAGGTCTTCTTACCTACGTGTCTTCTTTTGGCTGTGTGTGCAGGGGTCAGACTATGAAGGTGAAGGTTGCTAATTCGTACAAATGCGCTGTGGCGATACCGAAGAAGTCGAGCACGTACTCTGTGTCGCGGTGCCACCACAACCTCTACACCAACCGTGACGACGTCGCGTCCCGTGAGTTCAACCATGGAAGCATCGACGACTTCCTCAGCAACTGCATCAAGATCTACATTGGCTCCGCACAGTACAAGGACGGCAGCAACTACAATAGCGGAAAATCCAACTCGAAGTCGTGTGTCATGGTAGAGACCGGCGATCACTTCATCTGAGAGAGAACGACAAGTCTCGTCTTGTGCGCTCAGGCAAAGCGTTCTTCATTCAAGCGTCTGGTCATATCCTGCCCCGCCCAAGAAGAGCTGGGGATTCAGAAGCGGTGATGGAGGGACTCGATGCCTGGATCTCCTGCCCAATGTGCCGGCAACACACAAGACAGCTGCTCAGGAGCAACTGAGAAGTCCTCTCCTCTTTCTTTGGGAGGTACAACGTGGCGGTTTGTCTCACAAGGCTGGCCGGTTCTTAGTACGGTGACTGGCAGAGCTGTCGTAAGGTGTACATAAGTTTGCTCAGTAGGGAGCTCACAGGTTGTTATTTAAAGATTGCCTCCATGTACGCAAAAAAATTGTCTTTGGCATGATAGTAAAAAGAGCCTAGGCGAAGAAGTAGAACAGAAAGCAGTCCTCTCTCTCTCTCTCTCTCTCTCTCTCTCTCTCTCTCTCTCTCTCTGTGTCTCGCGTCTCCCTCATCTTGAGTCTTGTCTACATGACACTTCACTATTCCTGGTTACACCCCGTGGCCTTGAATCCTATACGTCCATTTGGCTTGCTCGTTTTGTCCTATTTGATCACGACATCAAAGCTGTGCGAGCTAGGTGCATAACGCGGGGCAGTAAACCGGCCCGTAATGCCCAACAGATTGGGCAGAGTGACAGCTTGGGGTGAGTTTTTATGGTGGTAGGCTCGATGGGCTGAAGTGGAAGGGAGGGAGCAGTAATGGGTGTAAGATTATCGGTACTAGCCGTTTTGGTGCGAGACTGTTCTTGAGACGTATCGCCAGGGTGCTCAAAGTTTCTTTTGAGAAAGATCAACAAACGACTTTTTCGTTTTCTCCATCCTTGCTTGTTCTTTTGGCTGAGTTCAAGCTTCTGAGTTCAGACACAAAGTGTGCATGACCTTGGCTGTGGCTGTAGGCATGTATGTTGGTTTTATTTGGACGTTCTTTAAGGGGCTCCTCTATCATAATGAATGAATGGAATCTACTGAGCAGGTGTTTGTGTCGGGGTCAGGTGTGCAACAAGGGATACACCTTGAACGTCTCTTGTCCTCTTGCAAAAGATGATCTGAATTCTGCTCTCTTAGGGCATCATGCAATCAGACTCGTTTTCAAACACCCTTTTCATGCATGTAAACAGCAACGCAGCATACTGGCGACATGCGCCCACTCAAAACTCAGAGATATGGCTTTCAGATACGAGTTCACTCTCAATTGGCTATGGCAACTTCAGCGCCCAAACATCTCACTGTTCACATACACTGGATCACCCTGGATATCCCACACGCATCACTCTAACACTCGAACACACAC